GGTGGGTGGGGCAGCCCTTGTGTGCGCAGGTGGGTGGGGCAGCCCTTGTGCATAATACTGGTGACCGGGGGCCACCTTAGATTCATTGTCCAGGTGGTGATCAACGCATGCTGGCACAGGGAAAATAAATCACCGGAAGTACTTTCTCACGAGATTTTGCGAGAACGTCACAATTCGTACGACGCGTTTTATAAGTATATACGCGTATTTCGCAGCACTGGGTGGCATGGGTGGGTGGCATGGGTGGGTATCAGTGCCCTTCGTTTACCGCATCGGCCGGGGGAAAATACATACTCGTGTCGAAGCTGCACACGGCTTTGTAAACGCCCTCGCGTGGAACCATCTACCGTATTCGCCGGCCCATGACAGTTAGTGGTGCTCCTGATGCTAATCATACAGACAAAGAGAGAGATAGAGAGAGAGAGAGAGCGAGAGAGAGTGAGATAGACAATCCGTGCACACGTCGATTCGAACTAGAGATGCTACCATTCGTAGAGATTCACAACTAGAGATGCTACCATTCGTAGAGATCCACAACTAGAGATGGTATTATTCGTAGAGATTCGAAACTAGAGATGCTATTATTCGTAGAGATTCAAAACTAGAGATGCTACCATTCGTAGAGCTTCGAAACTAGAGATGCTATTATTCGTAGAGATTCGAAACTAGAGATGCTATTATTCGTAGAGATTCAAAACTAGAGATGCTACCATTCGTAGAGCTTCGAAACTAGAGATGCTGTTATTCGTAGAGATTCGAAACTAGAGATGCTGTTATTCGATCGTAGAGACTCCATGCTGTCCTCCGCAAGATAATTATTTATTTTTCTGTTGGTTTGGTGTTACTAAAACATACAAATGTTCTGTAAATATTTTTTGAAAACGAGTATTACGATGAAAATACCAATATTTATATGCGTAGCTAACACAGTAACAAGTTTAGACTATCGGTTTTGGTAAATCATGCGAAGCCCACTGATTCACTGAGTCATTGTTTTCAGCACTTCCGAAATCACACCGACTTTTATGCCTCGGCGCATAGGTCGTCGTGATTATTGGAAACATGTTAATGACATAAAAGGGTGTTCTTGTACGGCCGGCAGATACGGTATGTTTCCCGTGAGGTGCGGATGGGTGGGGTGGGGTTGGGTGGGTGGGGTTGGGTGGGGTGGGGTG